CATAGTCCTAGGTTTGGCACCTCTGACTTTGGCCAGTGCCTTCGTTGAGGAACGTGTTCCCCTTTCAGGAGGGGGGCTAGCAATAAGAAGGGTATTTGGTGATGGAGGTGTAAGGAGGGGAGGTCAAATTCAGAGCTTGGTGTCGTTTTCAAGTACAGTATAAGCCTTTCTTTCACACTGGTGTGTGTGAGTGTGTGTGTGTGTGTGTGTGCGTGTAAGTGATTTAATACACACAATGACGTACTGGTAGGGAGGTATGATATTCCCTCCCGCACTCACTCTGGGATATGTTCTTCACCACAGCCGTAACGGTCAGTCACACAGTCACTTGAGTCGGAATTTTCTGTTTCTTTAAAGTATACATTTCAGTGAAGTTATTTCACTCGATATTTATTTATTGTTTTTTCTTATATTATATTTCTCATTTCTCTTCGTGTTTTATATATGGGCATATTCTGCTTCGCATACACTAACACATATATACACATACAAGGATATAAGTTCTCTGGGTCGCAAAAGTGCACACAAAGTTCAAAGTAGCTCAGTCCAAGAGGTCTGAAGTCCTTAAGCTTTGTGCTCTCTGTAATGTAGTGTACTAAATTGTTGCCCCCTTCACACTCACATAAATGGCATTTGAGTGTTCTGGGTGCTCTCTACCAGTTTTCTCGCAATTCGCCTCCCATATATTTCTATAACCAAGTCTTATGCGGACAGCAACTCTATCACAGTCACCTGTAAGCATTTTACCCATGCGGTATTTGTGTCTCAGCCTTCTGAAGTTTTCGTAATGTTGGATCGAACAGCTGCTTACATGTTGTGTGAGTGTAGAAAATTCTTGCTCTTCCATAATCTCAATATACAACATTGTTTTGAACTGAGTCAGTGTGGTTATAGATTCAGACACTGAACTCTCAGTTGGTATTTTTGCCAGCCTGTCAACCTTTTTATTACCTACTATCCCAACATGGGAGGGTACCCATGAAAACTGAACGTAGAGTTTCAATTTTGCGCAGTTAATAAGAGCCTCTTAAATTTCAGTCATCATGTGAGTTTTGTAGGAGCTTTTCAATGATCAGTGACAGAAGCGGACTCTGTGCGCTTCTGTCACTGAGATATGTGCACGTGTCCCCATGTACAGTTATCTGAATAAATAAAAAAAACGAAATCCTTAGGGAATAATAATAATAATAATAATAATAATAATAATAATAATAATAATAATAAAAAGAAGAAGAAAATGCATCCAAAGTTCTTTCACCTTCTTGCACCATGACTCATAAGGCAAACCTTATCAGTAGATAAAACTTAATAAAATATGCCCTTCATCTGCATATTTTAAATATTTACGTTGCGATTATTCATCCAGAAGGCAAATATGTTCAGTTAAGTATAAAATAAGATATTGTAGCTGCTCTGTAGTTAATGAAAAAAATATAAAAAATTCAACGCATATTGTATTTGTTCGTATAAACTAGAATTGAGTAGGCTATCGTATCGACTAATCAGCTTTTATTTCCGTTTATGAACTTTTTTTTCTTTAATTTTCGTCTGTTTCGTGCTGGAGAACAAGCAAACAAAGACACAGGAAATAAATGCATCAGATGTTCATAGATACGAATATTTGCTAGGCTATCATAATGGAGTTGCCATATTTCATTTCCAGTTTTAAGTGTTATTTATTGCTATCAAATTCAGTTGCCTTAGTTTATTTACTTTTTGATTACTTATTCTTTCATATTTGTCTGCGTCATGTTGGTGATAATGCTAGCACACACACACACACACACACACTAAGTATCTAAGTATCACTAAGTATAAAATGGAACCGATCAGGAGATGGGAAGATACGAGCTTTGGGTTCTTTCCCGTAAACACAATTAGGTAATCACAATTAGGTAATCACATGTGTGTGTGTGTGTGTGTGTACGTGATCAGTTCCTTCTCTTTGAAAAGCAAGAGGATAGGAATATAATGTGCCATTAATTATTATAGAAATAAATCTAAATTTATATTTTCACTTTGAAATGTTACAATCACAATTTTGCATTTTTGGATCTAGAGAAAGCGTATGATAGAGTTTATAGAGAGGCAATGTGGAATGTTTTGAGATTATATGGAATTAATGGGAAATTGATGCATGCAGTAAAGAGTTTGTATGAGGGCAGTAGAGCTTGTGTTACGGTAGGGATTGAAGTGAGTGAGTGGTTTCCAGTGAGAGTGGGACTGAGACAGGGATGTGTGATGTCACCATGGCTGTTCAATTTGTATACTGATGGAGTCGTAAGAGAGGCGAATGAGCGAGTGCGTGGTCGAGGTTTGAGAATGGTAGATGGGGATGATAACGAGTGGGAGCTGAATCAGTTGCTGTTTGCAGATGATACTGTGGTGGTGGCAGATTCAGAGGAGAAGCTGTGTCAGTTAGTGTCAGAATTTGGAATGGTGTGTGAGAGAAGGAAGTTGCGAGTGAATGTGGGAAAGAGTAAGGTTATGAGGTGTACAAGAAATGAGGATGGTGCTGGATTGAATGTTATGTTGAATGGAGAGACGCTTGAGGAAGTTGATCAGTTTAAGTATTTAGGCTTGGTTATAGCTGCAAATGGTGGAGTGGAAACAGATGTGTGTCACAGACTGAATGAAGGATGGAAAGTGTTGGGTGCGTTGAAAGGAGTGATGAAGAATAGAGGGTTGGAAATGAATGTTAAGAAAGTTTTGTATGAGAAAGTGGTTGTGCCAGCTGTGATGTATGGATCAGAGTTCTTCTTCTTCTTCATCTACCTCTTTTCCCACTTTTATGTGGGGTTGATGTTTCTGGCCAGTTTTCTCCATTTGTTTCTGTCCCATACCTCATCACCCAACAAACCTTTAGACCTCAGGTTGTCATTGATGCATTCCTTCGACCTACACTTTGGTCTCCCTCTCCTTCTCCTACCCTGTATATCCATTTCCATCACCCTCCTTCCAACATACTGTTCATCCCTCCTAACGACATGACCATACCATCTTAGTCTACTTTCTTGTATCTTATCTGATATTTCTCTAACTTTTGAGGGACCTCTAATTACCTCGTTTCTGATCTTATCGCTTCTTGTCACCCCACACATCCATCTCAACATCCTCATCTCTGCCACATCCAGTATTTTCTCTTGTGTCGTTTTTATTCCCCATGTCTCTGCTCCATACATTATCACAGGTCTAACAACTGTCTTATGCACTTTAACCCTCAACTTAATACCTATTCTCCTGTCGCACAGCACCCAAGACACTTTCTTCCAGAAATTCCATCCCGCTTGTATTCTGTGGGTTACTTCCGACTCTAGGTCACCATCCTTTGCTACTGTTGATCCCAAATGATTGAACTTTTCAACTCTTCTCAACACCTTCCCCTGCAAATTGACCTCCCCATCCTCATCATCTCTCAACCTCAAGTACTCTGTCTTCTTCCTGCTGATTTTCAGTCCTCTATCCTCCATCACTCTTCTCCACTCCTCAAGCTTCTCCTCCACTATCTATCGTCTGTTGCTACAAAGTACAATGTCATCTGCAAAGAGCATATGCCATGGAGACTGATTTCTAATACCCTGGGTTACTACATCCAAGACCAGATCAAATAGATATGGATTAAAAGCAGACCCTTGATGGAGACCAACATTTACTGAGAGACTTTTCGTCAAGCCCACACTGCTCTTAACATTTGCCTCTGCCCTCTCATACATATCTTGGATGATTCTTACATATTTCTTGGGGAAGAAGAATATATATAACCAAATAAGCACATTACATAAGTGAAAACATGAATCATATATTACCCCGACCGGGACTTGAACCTAAGACTTTTAATTATTAGGCCAAGGTGCTACCAACTACACCACAGAAGGTTAAAAGGAATCAGACCTTAAAGCTTATATCTGCTATACTTAGGAATGAAGGCATTCTATCTGAATGCCACCATGTTCATATTACAGATTCCCCAACCTCACTCGTGGCTTCATTTTCACATTACATATGTTTTCACATATGTATTGTGCTTTTGGTTATTGTTGGGCATGAATGAGATTGGCAATTGAATTAAATGCGAAAATGAGGCCACGAGTGAGGTTAGGGAATCTGTAATATGAACATAGTGGCATGCAGATAGAATGCGTTCATTCCTAAATATAGCAGATATATGCTATAAGGTCTGATTCCTTTTAACCTTCTGTGGTGTAGTTGGTAGTGCCTTGACTTAGTAATTATATGTCCTAGGTTCGAGTCCCGGTCAGGGTAAAAAATGATTTATGTTTTCACATATGTAATGTGCTTAATTGGTTATTGTTGGACCCGAATGAGATTGGGAGTTGAATTAAATGCGAAAATGAAGCCACGAGTGAAGTTGGGGAATCTGTAATATAAACATAGTGGCATCCAGATAGAATGCGTTCGTTCCTAAGTATAGCAGATATAAGCTATAAGGTCTGATTCCTTTTAACCTTCTGTGGTGTAGTTGGTAGCGCCTTGACTTAGTAATTATAAGTCTTAGGTTCAAGTCCCAGTCGGGGTAAAAAATTATTCATGTTTTCACATATGTAATTTGCATATTTGGTTATTGTTGGTCCCGAATGAGATTGAGAGTTGAATTAAATACGATAATGAAGCCATGAGTGAGGTTGGGGAATCTGTAATATAAACATAGTGGTATTCAGATAGAATGCGTTCAGTCCTAAATATAGCAAATATAAGCTATAAGGTCTGATTCATTTTTACCTTCTGTGGTGTAGTTGGTAGCGCCTTGACTTAGTAACTATAAGTCCTAGGTTCAAGTCCCGGTCGGGGTAAAAAATGATTCATGTTTTCACATATGTAATGTGCTTATTTGGTTATTGTTGGGCCCGAATGAGATTGGAAGTTGAATTAAATGCGAAAATGCAGCCACGAGTGAGGTTGTTGAATCTGTAATATGAACATAGTGGCATTCAGATAGAATGCGTTCAGCAGATATAAGCTATAAGGTCTGATTCCTTTTAACCTTCGGTGGTGTAGTTGGTAGCGCCTTGAGTTAGTAATTATAAGTCCTAGGTTCAAGTCCCAGTCGGGGTAAAAAAATGATTCATATATATATATATATATATATATATATATATATATATATATATATATATATATATATATATATATATATATATATATATATATATATTGCCTATTACTGAATTAACTCAAAACATGAACTAAATACACTCTTTGCTTTAATCCGAGGTTTTCACCTCCTCAAAATGGAAAGAAAATATAGACTCGAATTCAATTAAAAAATAAAGATTCATTAGTTGTAGACGTCTTCTCGCTTCCATTTAAAGAAGTGACAAGCCAATTGACAGAAGTTCCATCGAGAAAGATAATCCATCTCGAGAAAAAACGGAGAGAGAGAGAGAGAGAGAGAGAGAGAGAGAGAGAGAGAGAGAGAGAGAGAGAGAGAGAGAGAGAGAGAGAGAGAGAGAGAGTCCCCTTCCAAACTTAATTAGATATTCATTCCATGTCATCCATCTTTGTTTTAATCAGTTCTAGATCTTTTCATTTTATTTTTTACATATTTTTTTTCCAGCAATTTCATCTATCAGCATGTTTATGACAGGAAAAGGGAGAGTGAAACGTGAAAAGAAATAAGTAAAAATAGGAGAATGAGAAAAGCAGTATATAAAAATCAAGGAGGAGGAGGAGAAGAAGACCCGGAGAAGGAAGAGGTGGAGTAACAGTATTAGTATTAGTAGTAGTAGTAGAAGAAGAGGGGTGGAGGAGGAGGCGATATAGTGGCAGCAGGAACAGAAAAAGACGAAGAAAATAATTAATCACTGAAAAAAAAAAATCTAACAAAAAAGGATATGAGGATGCCAAGCCTTATTGAGTTATAAGCCTCCCATTTTCTTTTAGTTTTCTTATATTTATGGAATGTGTTTTACTTCTTTTTTTTACAGACAAATTAGGCTAAAATCACTGAGCCCCAAAAGATGGGAAGCTATATTGAGACAAGGCCACAGCCGAGAGAGAGAGAGAGAGAGAGAGAGAGAGAGAGAGAGAGAGAGAGAGAGAGAGAGAGAGAGAGAGAGAGAGAGAGAGAGATTATGTAACCTTCCTCATTCTCCTCTTCAACACTCTATCGGGGTTTCCACTTTTAGAAAACATTGGACCATTCACAAACCAACTCTTTACAACGACAGAGCAAATATACACACAAAAAGAAGGAAAGCTAACGAGATTTGTCGATCGCACGTACATTACGGGCACATTCTATAACCTAACCAAGTTTGGCCCAATTTTCTACCTGAGGGCTGCCTGCAAACTAAAACATTATACCGATCTAAAGGAAGTAAATGGTTATTTCTTTACAAAATAAACTCAAACATTTCCTGAAAATGTGGGACATAATAATAATAATAATAATAATAATAATAATAATAATAATATTAATAATAATATAAAATAATATACTAAATATCTGCCTACCATTTTTGCGAGGTCGTCAACACAGGAACCCCCTCAAAAATAACAATTTAAAATTTATATATATATATATATATATATATATATATATATATATATATATATATATATATATATATATATATATATATATATATATATATATATATATATATATATATATATATATATATATATATTTTAATTAATTTATTTTTTCTTCTTTTTTTAAAGCATCCTCGCCAACCGAAATTGGACTTTAAGGGATGAGGAACCACGGTCGGAATTCCACTTCAATACAAACAGTTTTAATTACTTGAAGATGGATACGAAAACAGGAGTCCCTGAATTTCAGACTGAGGAAATTTTTTTTTTTTTTAAAGTCTGAAATCACTTTATATTTATTCATTTCAGTATAACACCAACTACCTTGATGATATTTGAAAGGTCATATGAAAGAAAAATACATATATATTATATTAAATACTTAAATTCTTTTATTTTTATTAATATATATGTTTATAATATTCACTAGTCATTATTAATCTAACTTTTTGATATTTGATAAAGTGGTAGATACTTCGTGTGTGTGTGTGTGTGATTACCTAATTGTGATTACCTAATTGTGTTTACGGGAAAGAGCCCAAAGCTCGTATCTTCCCGTCTCCTGATCGGTTCCATTTTTAGACTTAGTGATACTTATCATACCTGTCCTTAAAACTATGGATTGAGGTAGCATTAACTACCTCCTCGCTTAGCGAATTCCAATTATCAACTACTCTTACACTGAAAAAGTATTTCCTTACATCCTGCAAACAAGTTTTCTTCCGAAGCTTCAAACTATGACCTCTAGTTCTAGAGCCAGCCATATCGAAATATCGATCCCTATCCACTCTATCATAACCATGAAGGAATTTAAAGACTGTCACCATATCCCCCCTTACTCTTCTAGCTTCGAGTGATGGCAAGTCTAATTCCCTCAGCCTCTCATCATAACCGAGATTGCGTATTTCTGGCACCAGTTTCGTGGCATGTCTTTGAACTTTTTCAAGCTTAGCTATGTGCTTTTTCAAGTGCGGATTCCAAAAGGGGGCTGCATATTCGAGTTTTGGCCTCACATAGGTTACATAAATATTTCTGAACATTTCCTTGTCCATGTGCCTGAAGGCTACCCTTACATTTGATAAGAATGCATATGCTGCCCTTACTACGCCATTTATATGTATTTCTGGAGACAAATCTGCCAATATGTTTACTCCTAGATCTCTCTCATTTTCTGTCTCCTGAAGCTGTACTCCAGCCACCGAGTAGTCAAGCTTGGGCCTTCTTGCACTTGTACCCATTCTCATTACCTTACATTTTGAGGTATTGAATTTCATTAGCCACTTTTCTGACCACTCATGCAGATTATTTAGATCCTCCTGAAGTTCTCTACCATTGTTCTCGTTTTTTACTTTCTTCACAATCTTTGCATCATCTGCAAACATATTCATGAATGAATTTACAGACTCTGGTAGGTCATTTACATATACAAGGAACAAAAGTGGCCCTAAAACTGAACCCTGTGGAACTCCACTACTAACTCTTCTCCATTCAGACACTGAGTGTCTTACTCTAACCCTCTGTTCCCTTCCTTCTAAGTAAGTTTTTATCCATTCCAAGACATTTCCACCTATTCTAGCCATTGATTGCAGCTTCCTAATAAGTCTCCCATGTGGAACAGTGTCAAACGCTTTCTGGAAGTCTAGGAATATGCAATCTGCCCAACCCTCTCTTTCCTGTAAGATTTGGCTTACCTCATCATAAAATTCTAATAAGTTTGTTACTGTTGATCTTCCTTCTCTGAAGCCATGTTGCCTCACTGACAAAAAGTTGAAGGATTCCAAGTGAAGAGAGATATGTTTCCTTAGTAGTTTCTCCATAAGTTTGCAAACTATGCTGGTCAAGGAAACTGGTCTATAGTTCAGAGCCGTATCCCTCCTTCCCTTTTTGAAGATAGGTATCACATTTGCTTGTTTCCAGCATCTTGGAATCTCCCCCGACTCCAATGACTCCTTAAATATGATACTTAGTGCCACTGATATTGTGTTTGCGCATTTTTTAAGCACATGAGGGGATATGTCATCAGGACCTGTAGCTTTATGAACATCTAAATCCATCAGCGCCTTGCATACCTCTGTGGCTGTAAGGTTGATGTTCTCTAATACCGGCCCTTGAGCTTCTATCACTGCAATCTGAGGGGGTGGGGTATTTTCTACTGTAAATACTGACTGAAACTCCTTGTTCAATTCTTTGCAGATCTCTTCGTCCGTGTGTGTGTGTGTGTGTGTGTGTGTGTGTGTGTGTGTGTGTGTGTGTGTGTGTGTGTTAGGGAGAGAAAAAAAAGGAGAGAGAGAAATACACTACTTTCTAATATTTTGTATGCAAATAAGTAAATAGAAATGATAATTATGAGAAAGATAACAGTTGGAACACTTGGTTATAAAAAGAAGAGGTAAGTCTTGTTGAAAGTATTTGGTTCTGTTTCTTACAGTTGACAAGTATTGATGACCAGCTTCAAGTAGAATGACCTAAAACGGAAACCACACTATGCAAGGAAGGTCAGATCTCATGCTCCTCCCCAGATGTGATTACCACTGACATACCGTCCCCTTTGCCTAACCAGAACCAAATTATAATCTCGGTCTATGTGTATCTTTTACTGTAATTGGTTTGGCATAGACCTAGGGACTAAAAGTACCCGCCTCCTCGGAAGCAGTAAAAGATGCTTATACTACAGCTGAAGGTGTTTTGAACTTAAATTGGTCTGTCCAGGACAGTTCGATGTTAAGTCTTCCTTCAGTTACGGTTCTTATTTTATGCCTACAGCTACACTGAATATTCTTATTCATTACACATCTTTTATTATCCCTTCACATCTGACAAGTCATTACACTCTCCATCTCTGTTTCTCTTTACTTTATGTATTTGTCGTGCCCAGGCCTGATGAGGGCTGTTTTATTTTATTATTTTTGGCCCGTCCTGGTGTCACAATCATTAAAAAAAAAAAAGAGGAAAATTGTTCATTCTTTAGTCACCTGTAATTCTAGGTCAATTCTTCAGAGAGGCTGGGTCAAGCTCTCAGTCATTCTAGTAGAGCCATCAGAACAGATTTAAACCTAGACATTATCAATATGTAAGACAGAATACCTATATTCCGGAGGCTTAGGGGGCTAGAAGCTGTTGGAAGAATATTTCAAGAATAAATATCACGTTCATGCTCCCAAGACCCATGTTTGATTCTAGTTCCAACCGAATTTCACGTCAAATTCCAATGAGACTGGTTATATCAATAAATATAATGTACGCTATTGGAGATGGAGTTTTATCTACACTATCACAATGTATAAATTAGAAGGGAGAATAGTTTAAGGAAAGAAAATGACACAGTTCATTCACGAAAGCCGAGTTTAAAGGGACACTTCCACAAGCATCTCTCTCTCTCTCTCTCTCTCTCTGAATAGAGGAGTATTGTTTGAAGGTGTTGGACGTCTCGGTGGCCAGTTGCTGTGATGTTTATTTTTATTGGCCTTTGTAATGCTAGTTTTTATTTTTTTTATAATCATGATTTGTTTAAGCTTTCC